ACTGCCGGGCGAAAGCCTTCACTTAACCATGGTAAAGCGTGCATTAGCTTTTTATTACACTAAAACACAGATAATCCAAATTTATGATAACAAACTGTCGATTAAATTAAAAAACACAAATGAACTACAAAAAAATATACATACATTATTTTTACGTACGATATTGAAGCAAATTCTGGTATGTCTGTTTTAACACTGAGTTTTGTTTCTCCACCAGAGTAAGCAAGGGAGGAAACAGAAAGTATTAACGTTATCAGTTTTCTGTTCAATACCGAGTATAAAATAGTAAGTATAATCGGCGCATGTCTATCAATAAAAAAACAACTCAATTCATGTAGTCACTAATATTGGTTTGTTTGAATTTTCAGCGTCCTCTGCACTGTTTTGCATCTCATCCGTAAACTTTTCATAGCAATGAAACGTTAGTCTAATACTGGTACTTTTCGCTTAGAAAATGGCTGACGTGTCCAAGATGAGACTGAGTTCAGACCAAAGGCAGCATTCACTTCTCAAGATGGCAGTCACCTGTGTCAATTTTCGCAACGGCAAAAATGGCTGCATAACATTATGTAATGAGTAGCGTATAAATACATGATCCAAATGTATGGCTTAATGAGTTGTTTTTTACGTAAACATTTTTTTCGAATTATTTGAACCAGATGTATGGATCTTATGATCAAGGATTTATTTTGTTTCGAATTATCCATATACTTTTTCGAATTATCTATGCTGAAGAATGATGTTCAACCTCGATGTCATTCAAGCTTTAAAATTCTTTTCACGATTTTGTGAATTTTGTTTATTCCATCAAAATTCTGAAAGAAATTTCGAATCAGCGAGTATATATAGCATAGAATTTACTGCTTTTATGAAATTTATTTTCTTTATGAAGGATGTACCCTCGATGATACGAAGATAGTTTGTGCAAAGAGCCTCGTTTTCAAACTTCAGTAGTTTCCAAAATACGTAATTCGTCTTCGGGAGGTAAATTAAACGTATATGAGTGCTAATGTATATATGCGTATTTCTGTATTGCGTAATATATTATCTATACTTTTGTATGTCATATGCAAATGTATGGTTCATATGGTTCAATTCTTTTCCAAGATCAGATTTAACGCTTATTGTTCTGTCTCATTGCTCTTAGTTGCCAGAGGGTTGGAGGGGGCATTTAACCAAACCAGCGGTCAGTGGTACTTGAGCACCTGCAATGTCCGATTCATCTTAGTTAATTTTGTCCACTAGTGCCACCTGGTGCTCATCATTAATGATGAATTCAGTATCTGATACTCCTCATATGCTACGTAATAGGTTGTTCATCATCCGGAGTATGTCAGATAATGAATGAACTACTCCTTGAGGATCAGATTTCACGGCGTATTACACCATCCCTTGCTTCTGGAAGCGTCTAGAGTGGCCTTGCGCTAAGGTAAAGGTTTATGTGGTGTCATATGGCGGGTGCCAGCTCCTGAAACATCGTTCGTGATGAGCGCGTGGTGGCTTTTACGCACAGAATGATGCGAAATGTTTCTGGTCCTACAGGTGCTCTAATACAAAAGAGCTGTGCTCTGTTTAAAAGGTCCCCCTGTGTATCAAGAAGCAGGGGACGGTGGAATACGCTTTAAAATCCAGTTTTGCATCAGTCATTCGTTATTAGACATGCTCGAGCGTACTAATGATATGCATGACTATATACATAATGGAATTAATGTTTTCGTCCATTCATATTGTTATATCTTTTTCATGTGTTGTTGCAAAAATAGTAATTTTTTGAAATTGTCTGACTCTCAGTGCAACCCCTTAGATTGAGTTGTATGTTTTGAGTATGCTGCAGAAGTTTTGTCTTTACGTTAGAAATTTTTTTGTCAAGTGTTTCGTTTCAGATCGATTCGAAAGTAAAAAGCGATGTCTACATTAACGTCGAAGCATTCAAGCCGTTGAACCATTTGAAGTTAAGCGATTCATTGAGTTCAACAGAAGAATCATGTTATGTTTCGCTAACGGACCAGAATAATCGCGTTTTGTTGTTGAACGTTACGATTTCAAAGAAGCGGGCGAACATCATTTGGGTACTAAAAAGGAATGTTTGTTTTCCGTTGCGTTACGTTATTTTGCTTGACTGATGTTCAGGTACGCGTGTGGGTTCCTGTTTGGATCGTCAATAAGTCGGGCCTGCCTCTGGTGGTCAAGCAGGACGGCTCCGGAACCGACTCAGCGGGCCAGTATGAGGAACACGAACGCGCTAGATCTATGACGCCACTGTTGTTTTCTTTCGCTGATGAGGACGCGTTCCAAAGGTTTGCAGATGGTGACTTGTAGTCCCGGGATCATTTGGGTAGCAATGCGAGAAACACGGAGACAACAAATTCACATGTCAAAATACGTTGCATTTATTTTTGTTGTGTGATAGGCCTTTCCATCCAACGTTGTCCTCTGTTTTTCTGCCAACAGCCCTATGTCCTTGGAAGATAAGTGCTGTAGGTGGTCCCGTTCGTTTCATTCGTGTTTGTTGTAATGTATTCTGATCAGACGAATATCTCGTAAGCTTCATCATCATCAACACAATGCGTCTGATTTCCTGAAGTGGTTACATCAAGTAGAGACCATAATAGTGTGTTGTTATTGGCAGGTGATGTTTTCTTACGGTAATCAAAAAAAGTGTCCCTTCATATAAAGCATGTACTGCGTCTTATATGTTAGTCATAGGTACTACGCTGCGCTATTATTACGATATTTTTCCTGCTTTAGTGTACAACTGTTCTGTTCTGGGGTGGGGGAGCAACGGTGCAGTAGGTTAGTAGGTTGGTTGCATTCCAGAGCTGCTGGATTGAAGCCAAACGAGCAGCATAAATTTTATCTTTTCTATTAGTTCCCTCGAACCAGAAATCCCCTCATTGTGCTTCGGTGCAAATAGACAATAAGCTGGTAATAAATCAATGACCTCAGAATGATAGATACAGCGTGGTGTTTTGATGTGGATATTCCAAAACGCCTGAGACATGATCATGTTCTCAGATGCTTGCTTCT